GCTGCAGCTCCGTCTGCTGGGGGTTTGTTTGGCAGTCCTTCATCAGGCCTCGTGAATTTTGTCCGGTTGGATGATGTTGTTTTCCATGTATATAGATTGAACAGGAATCAAGTATATAGCTCTCATGAACCAACTGTTCTGTTCTGTTCTGTTTGCGTTTGACCAGGCTTTCATCCTTTCCCCTGTTTAGGTGCATCACCCTTTGGTGGAGCTTCTGGCTTCAGCTCTGGAGGCTTCGGCTTCGGAAGCCCTGCTTCGGGTCCGAGCCCCTCTGGCTTCGGCTCGGGCTTCGGGAGCGGTGCAGCTGGGCCCGCTGGGCCCTTCGGAGGTGCTAGCTGTGGAGCCTGCGGTGCCTGTGGAGCACCAGCTGGGGGCCTCTTCGGTTCTTCGGCGTCGTCGTCTCCATTTGGCGCTGCGTCAGCGTCTCCCTTTGGTTCTGCATCAGCCTCGCCATTTGGAAGTGGTGCCGTGGTATTGAAGCAGATGGACACTTCCTAAAATCTTCAGAAACGACTGTCATTTCTAGCTTCACCTGACTTGATTGATCATAAGGTGTTGGCATGGGTGCTGCGGCATCCTCTGGGGGCCTCTTCGGGTCTGGAATGGGAGGCCACTATCTGTACACATGATGCTGGGAATCTATTAGGTTGGAGGCCATCGCTTCTAGGTTGGAGGCCATCACTATTAGGTTGGAGGCCATCACTATTAGACGTTTCTTTCTGCTTTATTTCTTTCTTTGGGTCTGGAATATGATGCTGGGAACCTTGCATCTTTGCAGCTCCAGGTGGTGGATTCGGTGGGGCTGCAGCGCCCGCTGGTGGTTTGGACGTGAGACAGGCTAGGGAGAGTTCCGTTGCTTCGGGGTGGCGGTCAGAAAATCTCATTGCAAGCTGCAAGATGTTGTACATAACATCACCCAAAATAGTTGCCCACGGATTGATCAGTCGCCTGGTGTTTTCGCACGCTTCACTTTTTTCACAGCAGCATTGCCATCGGTGTCATAACATTGTCATCGGTTTCACCACAGGTTGTCATCGGTGTCATAACATTGCCATCGGTTTCTAAACATTGTCATGGGTTTCATAGCATTGTTACCGATTAGTAGTGTGATTAAAATGGGGTGGGGGAAGGGGGGGGTATGTTCCATTTCACGAAATTGTCATCGGTTTCACCACAGGCTGTCATCGGCTTCATAACATTGTCATCGGTGTCATAACAGTGTCATCGATGAGTCATGTGTTTAAAGCTGGGTGGTGGGGTTCATTAAATTGTCATCGGCTTCACCACAGGTTGTCATCGGTTTTATAACGTCATCGGTTGTCGTCGGTTTCACAACATGTTGTGTACTGTAATGTTTTTGTAAAAGTACAGATATGGCGAGGGCGACGCGTATTGGAAGCTTACAAGTAGGTTCGTCTTGTGTTTTTCTTGTGGTTTTTCATCGGTCGTGCCACGTCAACAGTCTTCGACGGCAGGGACCCAGCAAATAGATCGAGCGTGGCAGTTGGCAGGAAATGAAAAACCTCATTCCTACCCACTTGCCGAGAGAGGTCAAAGTGAAAGTATCCGTGCATGGCCCAGCCATTGAAAGACGAGTCTGGCAGTTTGCTTGCAGAAGAGAACTGAAAGAGTCAGCGCCAAAAGATGTGCTGGGAGCTCTGATGCAAGTGATCCGAGACAGTGGCCGATCAAGAGTCAAACATACGCGGTCCGCATCGATGAAAACGAAGAGCTTTTGAACCTGCATTTCCTCACTATGTTCTATGAACCCTCCGCTCCGCTTACGAGGGGTTTTACAACACAGGCCTCATTTTGTACCAGGCGACAAGGGCGCCCGTGACCAAATAGTTATATTGGTAACTATTATAGATGTAAGTTTCAGAAGAACGCATTTTGTGCGTTGTAGTTCTCCACTAGATAGCTTCAATCAATAAATCAAGCCTAGTTGCAACTTGGTGACTCGGCAGCATGTTCAACTAATTTGCTGGGGCATCCTGTTTGGCTACTTCGTTGAGGCGTACAAGGAGCGCATGATCAAGATCTACATGCAGCACAACCCCAGCAAAGTGAAGCTCTGCTGAGTTATATAAGAACATGCTTTTCCTGCGACGTGTCCTTGGTCCCATTCCTTTTTTTGTGCTTACAAACTTTCAACTTGACAACTTCAAAAAGAAGAGTGCACACCTTGACTCTCCACCCTAGCTCACCAAACTGCTCAAACAGATCAACCTGCTTTTGCATCTCACTTGCCCGAGGAACGAGATCGACTCTCTCATGGCGAAATATGTGGGCCAGGAGCACACTATGTACTTGAAGATATGTTTCTCGGCTCTCTTGGATCTTGAGATTTGTTCTGATATTTATACAAATGGTATATATTACATTATTCAGTATTACATATTATATCATTGTTGCGATATTCCCAGGTGTATCACCTTACAAGTCATGAGGCAACAAGTACAAGGTCCAGCCTGAACCGGAGATCAGACCTGGTGGACAGTGTGGTGGAGGCCTTTTTGGCCAAGCTGGAGGACGTCCTTTTCATGCTTCAACACGCTCCTTTGACTCCTTTTGCTCCTTTGGAGCATTTGGTTGATCTTATTGCTCTTGTAGGAGCCCTTGGAGGATCGATGACTGGGAATGGAGGCACTGTTTTTTGCACGAGCTTGTTTGCACTGTTGAACAATTCTTTGAGGCTTTGGCATGATGAGCCAACCGATGGGTCAACCGATGGGTCAACCCATGGGTCAACCCATGAATCCAATGGGTGGACAGCCCATGGGCGGCCAACCCATGGGTCAGCCGATGGGACAGCCAGCCTTCGGCAACCCGAGTGCCTTGGGCGGTCCCTTCGGTGGGACACCACCTTCACCATCTCCGTTCGGCAGCTCCAATGCCTCTCCCTTCGGTGGAGGAGCAGGCATGGTGAGACCTCGTCCGACCAAAGTCCAAGTGCCAGTGTGTCAGGCATGGGAGGCGGTGGCTTTGGCGCGCTTGCTCAGCAAACTGGTTCAGCCTTCGGAGGCCAAGTAGTAACAAGGGCATCGCTACTAGAAGCTAGAATCTACTAGTATGCATTTGCATCTCAAGTGGAACACAGCGGGCTTTTGCTTGACACCTCTTTTTCAGGCGGGGCGACTGCCTCCCCGTTTGCTGCAGCAGGTGCATCTCCAAGCCCCTTTGGTGGGTGGCGCACTTGGCATTTGGACGCCAAGCTTTGACACAAGATGTTGAACGTTGTTTCCTGGTTGTTGGTGGCTCCTTTGGCATTTGGGACACCACCACATCCACCTCGATGTTCATCGTCTCCACCTGCCAAGTAGCGTTAGTAGGAAGCATTAAGCAAAGCCGAGATCGAGGCAAGCAGCATCTCCATTTGGAGGAGGCTGTGGTTCGTTCGATGCTCTTTTCCATTCTTTTCCGATTTCCTCCGCTTAGGAGTGGCCAATCGAGCGTACAACTTATAGCGCTTTTCTAGGAGCCCAGCCATGCCAGCCATGCCAGCCATGCCAGCCATCTCCTTTTGGCGCATCACCATTTGGTGTGGGACCCAAGTCACGTGTGCGACCGCCCTTGTGTCCGTCCCGCAGTCGAACACCAATGTCACAGGTGGCCAAGCCACGGCCTCCCCGTTCGGTGCCTCTCCATTCGCAGGCGTGTAGATCCGTGTAAATAGATCGAACAGATCAAGACTAGGGTGTTTCGCATTGGGTTTATCGTACCTACAGTAATATACTGTAACAGACCTAGGTAGCCCTACTATTATTTTGAGATGAGCTCATTTCCTTTGCCAAACGAGTCTGAAAAGCAATCTGGAGCATCGAGCACCGCTGAGGTTCTCAGTGGACGCAGCACAGAGGTTAGTATCTCTGAAAAAGGGACGATTCTAAGGGTGTTCTCTTCATGCAAGTGCTCTCAGTTCTGTTGGTTCCCACATTCAATCCTGGTGGATTACCCAGAAAACCAACTCTTATTGCACAGAATGAGGGTGCGGCCGCACTTGAAGGTTGTAGGCATGCGAAGCCGTTCCTTCCCAACAAAAACTATTTGGCTCAAGATATCAATGCTTGCAGGATCTTGCAGACAATGTCAGTTCAACGTGTAGAATGACGGTACCAATACAGTGAAACTGACATGGTTACCTGCTTGATATCGACAGCAAGGCCAACCATTGCCCGAAGGTACCTAGCGAGTCTTTTTGGATGCTTGACACGTAGAAGGCCAAAAGATCTATGAAGCCAAAACGCAAGTCTGATTGTTGATTCGAGAGTGCCTCATTATCCCGGCAAGAGACCCCAAACAGTGTTAAGTGGAACAAGACGAGGGTGAATACGTGAACTTGCACGAGCTTCCGCACTCTTGAGCACACTCTGACAATTGTATTCAGTTAACTCAATTCCCCGAGGAAAGGAATGGCTCAACGGTAAGGTGGAAAGTCAGCGTAATTGTAGATGTTTCAACAAAATGGTTTTCATACTTGACTGCGGCGACAAGCTGCAAAAAAGCGCGGCTGCTGAAAGTTGCTGAGAAACCTGTTTGGGGGTGGTAGCATGAAGAGACATGGAAGCAACGAACAGCGGCAGGGTGGACCATTGGAGTCGGTGTGTTGAGAGCAGGTACAGGAAGGTGATCAACCTTCCCTTCCCATCCATGACCGCAGCTTCGTTGCACACGGTAGGTCATGGATGCCGTGTGCCCCTGCCTGTGGAACTGGGGTGGAAAAATGGCGGTAGGAAACCCTTTGTCCAGGGGTGGACACACACAGATCGCCGTCTTCGGCGCTTTTTTCAAAAACCGGTGGCAGGCATGGTGGTTGTGTCCTTTCTGGACATAAAGCCTCACTAGCTCGGCGGCAGCAGCTTCAGCGCTGGAGGGTGGAAATGTGTATTTTCGAATGGTGTGGAGTCTGGATTGGAGGCCTGACAGAGCCAAGCGCTGGCTCCCGGCGGTGGTGGAATCCCTGATTTTCCAGGGTTGGGAAGGTTGCATGTAGGTGATGGTTAGGGTCATGCAAATCGAATTAAATCGTGATGCTCAGGTTGGCTAGCTTGAGTTCTTCATGCGGACAAGTCATGTCAAGAATGCGCAAAAACGGCAAATCACGGCCAAATCCGTCAGAGAATCAATTCCCGTGGTAAGGCTCGGCAGCCGTTGCATCAGTTGATTCCATGGTTGTGTCGATGACTTCCAGTGGAATTTGCGTGAAAAGTGGTTAGGTCGGTTAATGCTTTCACAGTGAGACAGCGCCCCAATGACGGGGATCACACTCAGCACCCGAGTGGGACGGCTGAGCGAAACACACTCTGACAATTGTATTCAGTTAACTCAATTCCCCGAGGAAAGGAATGGCTCAACGGTAAGGTGGAAAGTCAGCGTAATTGTAGATGTTTCAACAAAATGGTTTTCATACTTGACTGCGGCGACAAGCTGCAAAAAAGCGCGGCTGCTGAAAGTGGCTGAGAAACCTGTTTGGGGGTGGTAGCATGAAGAGACATGGAAGCAACGAACAGCGGCAGGGTGGACCATTGGAGTCGGTGTGTTGAGAGCAGGTACAGGAAGGTGATCAACCTTCCCTTCCCATCCATGACCGCAGCTTCGTTGCACACGGTAGGTCATGGATGCCGTGTGCCCCTGCCTGTGGAACTGGGGTGGAAAAAATGGCGGTAGGAAACCCTTTGTCCAGGGGTGGACACACTCTGAAATTGGTTTTCAGTTACACTCAATTCCCAGGTCGAAAATGGTGAGGGAACGGCGTGGTGAGAAAGTCAGTTCACTTGAAAGGTTGAACAAGCCGTTTGTGCGTGACTGCAGAGCTCAGCGGTGGTGAACAAGCGGCGCAACTCAGCTGCAAAACCGAGGTTTCGGGGGTGGAAACATGAAGGACCATGAATCAAAAAGTGGAAAAGTGGAGTCGAGTAACAGCTTGTGGAAGAACAAGCAGGTACACGGAAGTGATCAGCTTCCGCTCCTGGGATCTTGCAAAGAGCTTCGTTGGGCAGAGCCTTGCAAGTCCTCTCTGCCCCCCTGCCTGTAGAACTGGGGTGGAAAATTGGCGGTAAGAAACCCTTTGTCCAGGGGTGGACACACACAGGTCGCCGTCTTCGGCGCTGTTTTCAAAAACCGGTGGCAGGCGTGGTGGTTGTGTCCTTTTTGGACATAGAGCCTCACTAGCTCGGCGGCAGCAGCTTCAGCGCTGGAGGGTGGAAATGTGTATTTTCGAATGGTGTGAAGTCTGGATTGGAGGCCTGACAGAGCCAAGCGCTGGCTCCCGGCGGTGGTGGAATCCCTGATTTTCCAGGGTTGGGAAGGTTGCATGTAGGTGATGGTGCGTTGTTGGAGGTCGATGTTGAAACCCAGGAGGTGGAAGTCGTCCACAGGTTCAAGTTCCACTGGGTCGCCGAAGAAGTCGATGAGGGTTTGGATGGCGGGATGGTGTAGGAAATGTTCGTTTTGAACAATGAAGCGGTTGTCCACATATCGGTAGTAGGTGAAATGTAGGCTTGTATGTTGCAGGAGGTTGTTGTGGATCTGGTGCCAGGAGTGTTCGATGAGTGTAATGGCTACATTGCAGAGGGCTGGAGAGAGTTGGGAGCCAATCCCAGCTCCTCGGATTTGCTTGTAGGTGTTGTTGCAAGCCCGGAAAATGCAAGTGTGTGGGATGCTTGCGGTGGTGTCTGCCGATGTGGGAGTGGTGAAAGGGGTTGCCGGTGGCTTGGACATCCACTGTGATGGTGTGGGTGGAATGCTGTTGTTGCCAGTGGTGAATCATAGAGTGAACGGCATCAATGAGTCTGTGTTGGGGGACAGAGTTGAAAAAGCCGTCGTTGGTGGCGTGCAGGGATATGTCTGCCGGGGTTTGGGTGAGGTAGCTGTGGAAGTGGTGCCAGAGTTGTGGAATGGACAGTTGTCCTGGGTGTTGGGGATAAAGGTGTTGAAGGATAATGTCGAGGGCGCGGCTGGTGATGCGGAGTAGGTTGCCGCTGAGTGAACGGAAATAGGAAATAATGGTGCGGCCTTTCTGCCACTGCTTCTTCTCTTTTAGGTGGACCACACCGTAGGGGATACTGAAATCCTTGCGGAAACCCCATTTGTAGCGGGTGCGTAAGCTGGGTGAGGTAGGGAAGTGGTTCGAAAAGTTCGGGGGATTGCCATGTGTTCAAGGCGCCAGTGAAGTATTGGCGGGGGCAGAACAGTCGCAGTTGTTGAAGCTCATGATCGGCATGGTGAAGTACTGTGTTTTGGCCGAGGTATTCTTGGAGCTGGCGAAGCAGGCGCGCTGTGAATCGTGGTTGTTGTTTAAGGTGTGTAGTGCGAAGGCGCCATTGGTGTTCGAGGAACGGGTGTAAGTGCTCCACGAGGGACGGCGGTAACCCCTGCATCTTGAGCCATTTCGTGTAGGCTGTCTGGAAAATGAGGAAGTAACGAGCCTTGCTTGGATAGTAGGTGCTGTTCATGTTGGCGTTGAGAAAGATGCTGAGGTGTGTGGGGAGGTGAAGTTGATCAAGTGTGGGGATGTAGTGGCCATTGATGGTGGGTGTATCAGGATCCTGCAGTAGAGTTCGGAGATGGTGGCATGCGCAGGGGAGGTCCGCTGGATCTGGCGGGGAATGGAGGGTGTCCTCCCAGGCGCGGTGATTGTGTAGTTGGGATCGTAGAGTTTTGTGCGCAGCTTCACGGAGGCGGTGTGAAGGGAGGTGCAGGGGGATAGCAAGGTGCTTGTGGTGTTGTATAGTGGTACGGAGCCACTGTTGGCAATGCTTGGTGAAGTCGTCGTGGGCCAGAAAAGGCACTGTTAATGGGATGTTGGGTTTGGGTGGTGTGAGGTTGCGATAAAGGAGGGCTTTATTGATGATGTGGAGAGCTCGACTGCGACCAGGTTCTTCGAGATTGGCGGCCATGCGCCGGATGGCGTAGACTTCAAGATCAGTGTGTTGGCCACTGCGCAGTTGTTTGGCTGCTTCGAAGGAAGCTGCTGTATGTTTGGTAAGGTTGCGGAGGAGCGTAAGAGCGTGATGCTTGGTAGAGGTGTAGAGGTGTGGTTCTCTGAGGGTGTGTTGGCGTTGACGAAGGCGTTGGAAGAGTCGTTTGTGAGCGGCTAATCTGGAGTAAAAGTGCGCTCGATGCTTTGTGAACTGCCATCCTTGAGCTTTGAGTTTGAGGTGGCGCGAGATGAAAGGCCAGTTGAGGGTAGGCATCCAGTTGGCGATATAGTGGTGTTCCTGGATCCAGGCTTGGTCGTAGGTGTCGTGGGATGTGAGCTGGATGGTGGTGTAGTGGTGGATATTGTTGTGGGAATGCCAGTAGTGTAGGGAAAGCTCAGCGGAAATGGGGATGTTGTTCTGTAGTTGTTTGAGTTTGGCACGGCGGTTATGCTCTCGGTGGGGGATGCCAATAGCGGTGGAGCCCGCGTAGAAGTGGCCATGTTGGTGGTAGCAGCGTTGGGGTGGGTCAGGGTTGAAGTGGAGCTTGATGTAAACCGAGTTAGATGAGAGGAAGTTGTGGTAGTGGTAAGTGTGGGGTAGGATGTGGAGCTGGCGAAGACGATTGCGATACTGTTGTGAGCGGTGGGTGTTGGAGGGATATGCAAAAAGTAAGGTGATGTGGATAAGACCGGTGGCAAAAATGGCTTCGGCGCGGTCGATGTATTGAGTGTGGTGGATCAAAATGGAAAGTGCTCGGTGTAAGTGGAACAGGTGTTGTAGGGTTGTGTGGCTGGGTTGCTGCTGGCTGAGGACAGCGAGTCAGCAGCCGATGGCTGCCCCCACACTCACCAGGTGTTGCAAGCTCCGTATGGGGAGGCGATTGACCCGGTTGAGGGGGAGACCGTAGCGTGCGGCGGCCTCTTTCAACTGCTGGGTAGTGAC